AATAGCGCGAATACATTCACTCTATGTGTTCATTTAGGTTCTAAATTTCTCAATTCCCGAGCATTGTCTTGCGTTATTTCATTAATTCATATTTTCTTCCCGAATCTTCGATGTTTTTAACTTTTTGTATTACATGTAATACTGTAACTATTTATATAGAGTTCTAGAAATGCCAGAGAACGTTTCAACATTGAACATGACCTTTGCAGAAACATTTAAAAGACATTTCAATTAGAGTTATGGAAATTAGTGTTTGTTGTACACTGAAATCCTCAGTCAATTATCGTTAGACCACCATTAGAAAGCTGGAAGCACTGGACGGCCGTTTCAACCTCGTTTGGCAATCATCAGCAGTGCGCGTCCATGACTCCTGCCGCTCGCAGAATTCGAACCCAGGACCTTCGGTCTTTCGCGTGAACACCTAACCTATGGACCACTAAATCACGTACGAGAACTCTAACTGGATAATTAGACACACACTTGCTGTATCTAGCATGGTTCCCAAACATTGCAGAAGCCCGAGGTCATGAGTAACTCTATAGGTGCCCTCCTTTTTCTGTACAGACAGATTTTAAAAACTTACTAATAGTCTCTGAAATCGATGCAATAAACCATCAAGTATAAAATTTTCGCTGACCTTGAAATCTGACTTCAGTTTGTAAGAAAAATTAAATATTTTATGAAAATAAATATTCTCCATTAATTCTGCTGTATATCACAATTAGGCTAAACCTGTTTATGCAACGACGATAATAAAAATCCGAATACGGATTCAGTTGAATTGTTCATGCGGACAGATTTGCGGAAAAAAATAGCGGAGAGAAGCAAAGCGAAGTGAAGTGGAGGAGGCGAGTAAGTCAACTCAATGTTATGAGGCATGACTAAGTGAGCATTCACAGTCAGACGAAAATAAGCTAGACATGCGATGAACAAAGTAACCAATGCACTCACACATACACTCAAGTAAAAAACAACCAAGGTTATAAACGCATCACTGACAAGGTTAAAGTTTGTCAGAACAATAACAGGAAAAAAATGGATTATTTGGTTTTTTCAAATGTCGGAATAAATCATACGGGATTCACATACTAGTACACACTACAACTTTAATAAGTTCATATTACTTACTTACTTACTTACTTACTTACTTACTTACTTACTTACTTACTTACTTACTTACTTACTTACTTACTTACTTATGCACTTACTTACTTACTTACTTACTTACTTACTTACTTACTTACTTACTTACTTACTTACTTATGCACTTACTTACTTACTTACTTACTTACTTACTTACTTACTTACTTACTTACTTACTTACTTACTTACTTACTTACTTACTTACTTACTTACTTACTTACTTACTTACTTACTTATGCACTTACTTACTTACTTACTTACTTACTTACTTACTTACTTACTTACTTACTTATGCACTTACTTACTTACTTACTTACTTACTTACTTACTTACTTACTTACTTACTTACTTACTTACTTACTTACTTACTTACTTACTTACTTACTTACTTACTTACTTACTTACTTACTTACTTACTTACTTACTTACTTACTTACTTACTTACTTACTTACTTACTTACTTACTTACTTACTTACTTACTTACTTACTTACTTACTTACTTACTTACTTACTTACTTACTTACTTACTTACTTACTTACTTACTTACTTACTTACTTACTTACTTACTTACTTACTTACTTACTTACTTACTTACTTACTTACTTACTTACTTACTTACTTACTTACTTACTTACTTACTTACTTACTTACTTACTTACTTACTTACTTACTTACTTACTTACTTACTTACTTACTTACTTACTTACTTACTTACTTACTTACTTACTTACTTACTTACTTATGCACTTACTTACTTACTTACTTACTTACTTACTTACTTATGCACTTACTTACTTACTTACTTACTTACTTACTTACTTACTTACTTACTTACTTACTTACTTACTTATGCACTTACTTACTTACTTATGCACTTATTTACTTACTTACTTACTTACTTACTTACTTACTTACTTACTTACTTACTTACTTACTTACTTACTTACTTACTTACTTACTTACTTACTTACTTACTTACTTACTTACTTACTTACTTACTTACTTACTTACTTACTTACTTACTTACTTACTTACTTACTTACTTACTTACTTACTTACTTACTTACTTACTTACTTATGCACTTACTTACTTACTTACTTACTTACTTACTTACTTACTTACTTACTTACTTACTTACGCCTGTAACCTCAATGGAGCATGGGCCGCCAAACAGTATTCTCCAACCAACTCTGACCTCCATTTATCGACGTAATGTGTTTCTTGGCGTTCCTCGTTTCATTTTTCCATGAAGATTCCAAGTCAGTGCTTTGAAAATTGTGACTTTGGTGTAGGTTGATATTTGTTTGAAGTTCCAGATGTTGTTTAATAGTAGAAATGAAACCATCGCTTTGTAGATCCGCGCTTTCACCTCTGCATCAGATCCACCTTGTTCATCAATGATGCTGTCCAGATATGTAAAGGATTTTACGTCCTCCAATGCATTTCCATCAACATTGATATGCTTTATGAATGCTGTGTTGTATCGGAGAATTCTGCTTCTCCTGTTTTGTATGTTGTTGAGACCTGTCGCTGCTGAAGCTGCTGCTACACTGGTCGTTTTCTCTCACATTTTTGCTGCTTGTAAGAGAGAAGCGCCAGATCATCTGTGAAGTCCAGATTGTCCAACTGAATCCTAACTGTCCACTGTATACTGTGCTTTTCTACAGATGTTGACGTCACAAGTTCATATTCCCATAGAAATAGTCTAGAAGGTTTTATAACCAGATAGTTTTATATGTTTGTAGATAGTGTATGCATAAATCACTGAAAAAAATATTTCCATTATCGGTTTTCAATAGTTCAGAACTATACACCAAAAGACTTATGCAACTAAATAGTATTACTTGTAGTTAGATAACACCAAGAGGCATTGGATATCTGTTTCGACCTAATATAAAACTCCACATCAATTGCATACTGTTCTAAATTCTAAACTGTCGTTTTGAGAGCTAATTGTTTCAGTTCCAATGTCATATAAGATTAAGGATACATACTACTACTCCTAAGAAATCGCATATATTTAAACGAAACACCTGTTCAATACTTCTTGATTGTTAATCATTAATTAAAATCTGTTCATAATGCAAACTGGTAAAAAAAACGATTAGTCACTATAAATCTTGTTTTTTGAAATAGGAATTTGACTAGAATATTTTGAAATCCAAGTAAAATATTCCTTATAACACATTATCTGTATTCAGTTATCGTGGATAGGACATGCATTATGGAAAGAACCCAACTGTGTCACAAGACAAGCCCTCAATTGGAACCCTCAAAGTCAAAGCAAAAGAAGAAGGCAAAGGAACATATTACGTCCAGAAATGGAGATAAACATTAGGAGAATGAACATGAATTGGACGGAAGTGGAAAGGGAAGCCCAGCACAGAGTAGGTTAGAAAATACTGGTCGACAGCCTATGCTCCATAGCGGAGTAACAGGCGTAAGTAAGTAAGTAAGAGTAAATTAGGCTTGGTTTTCGTTAGTATGTGTGTTTTATTTCATTTCACACTAATCACGTGATTATTTCTCGAGTCTAAAGTTCATTACCACCACTTGGAATTAAAAATTCATTTTCATCGAACTTTCAATCTGATTAAAATACAAAACAGTATACTTTCTTTCCATTAGATTTATGGAGGTTAGGCGTTGTCTCGCAAGACCGTAGGTTTTAGGTTCAAATCACACAAGGTGCAGGAGTCTTGGATGTACACTGCTAATGATGAGTCCCATACCAGGACGAAATGGCAATCTTTCAGTGCTTCCAGGTTTCTAATGGTGGTGATCTAATACAATGATTGATTGATGATTTCAATGTATAAAAAATAGTATATGTTATGGTTTCTTCAACGTTCCAATGTACCAGTTTAAAAATATTCGGGATTAATTGGGAATTTCCAGTTAAGATTAAGTTGAAATGAAATTCATTTGGAAGATACTTAAATTATTCGAAATGCTTCAAACGTCCAAGATATCCAGTTAATAACTCAAAGTTTAAGTATTAACCACCTGACCTGAGCGTTTCGAGTTCGATTTCCTGTAATGACACTTTAAGCGATCACTGACATTAAAAAAATTTGCCAGTAGAACAAAAACCACTATCTCTCTCTAGTGATTCCCAAGTTATTTATTTATCAATGGCTGTGTAGTTCACAGTTCAGTTCTTGTTTGAAATAGTGAAAATTCAATAATCACTACCAATCTTTTTACTGACATTCAAAACAAACCAAAAAAGAAATTTGAAATTTTTTTCCAAATGGCTACAAGAAACCCTTTCGAAAATATCAAATAAAAACAACTGGTCGAGTTATATATATATTTCAATGTTATTTTTTAGAAAAAAATATTTCCTAACCTAAAAAAATTAATACTCCAATGACCTTGAATGAATTCGTCTACTGGTTATAATTTTTACAATAGCACATGTTATAATTTTTGTGATGTTTTTTCATTATTCTGATTGGTCAATTAGTTTTGTTTAACTGTAATCAAATCGCATTATATTTTTGACAATGATGTTAAAATTTTAAAATGAATGAAAAATTTTCCAAAAAAAACAATTGCGCGTGATTAACACACATTCCATGAATGAATATTATTATGATGTCATGAATAGGATTGATTATTCAGCGTAACGAAACAATTTTCACTGTAATCTTTAAAACAACAAAGCAGAAGAAAAAAAGACAGAAAACATTATTGAACATTGATCATTGTTCATTCAGTTGTTCAATGTAACATGTATTGAAATCAATGTAAATCATTTTACAATGTACATGGAATTTTTATTTTAATAAAAAAGGCAAACATAGATTATGATCCAATTCGCCATTTATTGATTGATTGAATGAGTAACAGAAAAAAAATAATTTGGATATTTCTAAAATAATAATCAGAAAAAAATTTACTAATATTATGATGACGACAGTGATTATTCAACGATTATCACGAAATATTGAGTTGAATCAATCGGATACAATCAATATTACTACTTATAATCAATTAGTCTGTGAACAGTTACATGAAGAATGTAAGTTCTGAGGTTGTTATTGTTGTTTTTATTTGTTGTACATTAGTACAATTGAAATCATGAACTGATCTTAGCTGGATCACGGTTGTGAACCCTCGAATACTGACTAATATAACCGTTTCATCCTTGTATGGGACTGTTCATCCATGACTTCATGCACACAGTAATCAAACTGAGAACCCTTGTGTTTCACATGATAACAATTCACTTCAATTAATCTACCATCTTACCCAGTAGTGAGTCACTTTCTCATGATCCAACATGAACTACACATCCCTGGTCACGGTTTCATAGTGCAACTCCAGCAGTTATATCCTAAAGATATTCATCAGTGATTAGTACAAGGGGTCTTGGATATGTACTGTCAGTGAGGAGTCTCATACTAAAATGAAATGGCAACCAGATACTTCCAAGCTGACAGTGGCAGTCGAACTAAGATCACTTGATGATTTCAACTGTAAACATTATCAATCTATTGTAAATTAGTCCAGATAGGATTAGTTTTAATTAGTTTATTTCCTTAAAGACATTAAAACCGACTGCAGTTTTTTTATAGTCTGACCATAAATAATCATGAACCCTTAATCAGTTAATGATTGTATTAAGTGTAATCGAACTATCTGCTCAATATTTGTCTAACTGTACACACATTTTTTTCTGTCACCCACATAAATTATCTCTGATTAGAACTACATTTGACAAGATGCAATCTAAACTTAGTGATGTCGTGGATTTTTTTTAAACCCTTAGATTTTTTTTTTTAAAAAAATTAAGTCATCACTGTAAACTAATTACTGTTTTCTATATTCAACTAAAAAACACCGATAACTGATCGCATCATTTTTAAAATGAACAATACATTTATATTATCAAGCAATAGGTTTGATGAGTGCAAAGCAAGGTGGAGGTGGGGGAGGAATTAGTGAAAAAGAAAATTATTGATTGATGTAGGTGTGAGTGTGTGTGAATAATAAGTTTTTGAGATGGTGGAGAAAATTTGTAGTGGTAGTGTTTAGTTCTTTGAGCTGGGGATGTTTTGGTTGTGGAGCATTCATCATTGTTCTTCTACTGAACAACATCGTCAACACAAACTTCAGCTACGGAAGTGAAGTATTCAAAAGAGGACAAAAAACACTAGAGAACTTTTAGAAGCCTAGCACTGAGGTCAGATAGAAGTTTGTGCTGATGATGTTGTCCAGAAGAATCAAACAGCACCAGAATAATAAGTTTAAAGCACAGTTCTTTTCATATAATTCGTGTGTGTAACTTGAAGCCACACATACATAAAGTCTGTACCTGGTTGGAGAGAAACTGCTGGATTTCTTTTTTTCGGGTTTATAAAATTTTTCTTGTAACTACTGTCAAAAAATATATTTGAATGGTATCTAAGGCAAATTGTACAAATGCACCGAAATTAAACGAATCAATTATTTTTTTTGATTAGGATATTTGTTTTTTCCAATTTACTACTGATGAAGTTCAAATCATATTTCGTTGTTTTCGGAAAGTAAAGAAATACCTTTGTAGTCTTGTTTTCTATAGTAAATAATTAAAACTAAGATGATGGTCGATAGAATAGATTACTTATTTTACTTACTTACGCCTGTTATCCACCCCTCAAGGAGCACTGGACACCGACCGGCATTCTCTAACCTACTCTGTCCTGTGGCTTACTTTACAGTTCTATACAAATGCTATTCATTCTTCTCATGTCTGTCTCCAGTTCTCGGAGTTATGTGTTCTCTGGCCTTCCTCTTTTCCTTTGACCTTGACGATTCCAAGTCAGGGCTCTTCCTGTGACACAGTCTGGACCTTTCTTCATTGTGTGTCCTATCCACTTCCAGCAATTCTCCATGGTTTCTCCCATCGCTGGAATCTAGTTTGTTCTCCCCTATAGTTGCTTGTTGCTGACAATGTCTGGCCAGCAAATTCAAAGTATTTTGCGTAGACAACTGTTAACAAGCGCCTGTATCTTCTAGATGATGGCTTTCGTGGTTTTCCAAGTTTCCGCCACATACAGTAGAACTTTCTTGACATTTGTATTGAAAGTCAGTTTATGAAAATAGCTTTCAATTGTAATTCATTAGTTTTGAAATGAGCTTTTCCTGTAGTGTGTAAATTCCTCAAAACCCATAAAGATTATAAAATCTTTTTAAAAAATTATATCAGTATACAGCAATTTCAATGACTGACTGATTTTTAAAAGGTACGAGATAAATCACATGTTTGTTTGATTTAATTCAGTCGATCAATCGAAATCGTGAACCAATCATTTTTAGACCACCGTTAAAAACCTGGAAGCACTGCACGGCCGTTTCACCCCAGTATGGGACTCACCATTGGCAGTGCGCATCCACGACTCCTACTGTGGTTCTGTGGTGCGAACTACTTATAAGTAGTATATGACGTGAGTGTCAACGTAAAGTCTGGTAGCATAATATGGGGAGAAGATCAAGAAAGGAAGAGTTAGAAAACAATGGAATTTGTATGAAACGCATGAATAGTGACAATGGATTGATGTTTGGCAACAGGAACAGTCCAGTTCCATAGGATGAACTGATCTTTTGCAAATGAACAATTTACGATATGGTTTTCCGATTTTACTGAGTAACTCTGTAATTTTCGTTTAGTACAATTCGGTTACCCCACCTGTGTTCTCACTCACTACACTATCACTCACAGGGTTTGAACCCAAGACCCTCGATCTTGAGCACGAACTCTTAACCTCTGTGCCACTGGGTCGGCCGTTGTCCAATGATGTTAATATCTAACACTGACTAATCTAATCTCAACCTTATGTATTGTGTACATAATGAATTAACTCCGCCAGTAGAACCTTAGGGGCTACTGCCGGTCCCAAGCCCGGATAAAGGAGGAGGGTTGGACATGGGGTTGGCGGCCCCATTCCGTTGAAATCTAACTTGCCAAAAAAACGCTAACCAGAAAAAATAATTCAAACCATTTTAACTCTGCCCTGGGAGTTGGAAGAAGAATTATGACGTCTCGTGATGAAAGCCGAGTCCCCTCGGAAGTCAAT